TAGCCATCAAATAGATAGTTTAGCTCTTTAACAATTTAAGAAGGTCTTTTGCAGCATCTGGACCTAGTGCAATATGTCTTGACTACTACTTCCATGAGTGTTGATTGTGAATCCAAGCAAAGTGATATCTTTGCACAACTTTCCTGATTTAAAAACATTCAGAATCCCATTATTATGTGTGTTCCTTATGAGTACATTTAAGTGTTCTAGAATACCCATTCTTCTCAAGATTTTCCATAGTTCCTTGTAAGCCACACATTCTAAAGTATTTGCATAATCAATAAAGCACAAGTAAATATTTTTCTGGTGTTCTCTGTCTTTTTGTCAATATCCATCCACCTGACACCAACCCAACAATGGTTACTGCAATTTCATGTCTTCATGCAATTGTTTTAAAATTATTTTGACCAAAAGTTTACTTGCACATGATTTCAGTGATATTGTTCTATGATATTTGCATTACATTGTGTTCCCTCTGTATGGAATGAGCATAAATCTGGATTTCTCCCAACTGGTTCACTTGGTAGCTATTTTCCAAAGTTCTTGGCACAGGCTAATGCAGATTGCTGAGTACAGTTTCATGATTTCTGACTTATACTGGCCCTATACAGGGTTTCTGATGAGCAGCTGATGGGTTTGAACCACTGTTCATACCAGGAATCAGAGTGCAACTTAGCAGTAAGTTGTTTCATATCATCCTCTATTATTTTCACTTTTAAATCATACTGTATCTACCAGTGAAAATGAAGAGGCTTATTTTCATCTGGGGCCTGAAATGAGGAGCCTTCTACTCTTCCTGATAAAGAAAGATTTATTTGGAAAGATTGCTGGGTTTAAACCTCAGTTTGGAACTAATTTCCTCAATTGTAAAACAAGAGTGCTGATTTTATAAGGAAACAACACTTTCTAAATGTTACAATGTAAAACTAATTTACATATTTATCAAATTGGTATAGAATGGAAACAAACACAAGGAAGTAAACAATGAACCCTAGCCATTTCTCTGAAATAATATAACATAGATTCAAATAACACTGCATACAGTGCAAAATGGGAACAGAATATTTTTTTAAAAGTAAAATATTCTCATTTCATTGATTAATTTTCCACTAACGGCATCTTTGAAATCAACAATGCTATATGGTTTTGTGTAATTACCATGCATAGAGTTATCAAATTTTGCTGTCTATTAAACTAAATGACAATATACATATACGTTTGAAAAAAAAAGGTAAATATAGTCCACATATTTGAATGATCATTAAACACCATATAAATTTGAAGCCAGGAAACTAAAGAATGCTGAAATCCTGTGAAAGTCATTGATGCTCTCTGACCATAAACATTTTAATTTAACTTAGAATCTGGCTGATGAAGTCCCTGGGTGAAGCACCTGGTGTGAACCGAACTACCAATTTACAAGTTAGTGATTCAAACCCCCTTTTAGTGTCATGAATGAAAGTTTTGTGATTTGCATCTGTAAATATTAAGACCAAGTAAACACTATGCAATAGTTCTGTAGTACATGGGGCCACCAGGAGTTGAAATCAGCTCCATGACAATGGTAGTGTGTGTGTGTGTTTAAATGGTTCTATATACATAATCCTTATCAATGGAAGGTACTGCATGATTCTTGACATCCTGTTGCGAAACTATAGGATAAACCCAGGATTACTAACCACAGGGCTGGCAGTTGAAGTTCACTAGCCTCTCCTTGAAGAGCCTATACATGTTCTTTATGAGTAGAAACTGACTTGAAGACACTTAACGACACCAACAACATTTATGCCATGTTGTTCTTCAGATAATCCAGTTTCTCAGATTATTTCCTTAGCATACAGATTGAGTAAGAATGATAAATGGATTCAACCCAGGTGCACCCCTTACCTGATTTTTAAACTGCTCAGTAGCCACTTGTTCTATTCTAACCACTGCCTCTTGCTCTATGTACAGGAACTTCATGAGCACAAGAAAGTGTTCTGTAATACCTGTTCTTCATAAAGTTATCCATAGTTTGTTACGATCCACACAATCAAAAGCCTTTGTATAATCAATAAAGCAGAAGTAAATATCTTTTGGATATTTTATGTTTTCAGCCATAATCCATCTGCTGTCAGCGATGATATCCTTAGTTACATATTATCTTCTGAATCTGACTTTCATTTCTGGCATTTTTAGATGTACTACTACATTTCTAGATGTACTACTACAACCATTTTTGAAATGTCTGCAGCAAAATTTTGCTTGCATGTGTTATTAATGATATTGTTTGATGAGTATCACATTTCATTAGCTGTTTTCCATACTTCTTGTCTTAGATGACTGAATGTCTCCCGGAATACATCAGTATGCTGAAACATTTCAATTTGTATTCCATCTATTTCTGGAGGCTTGATTTTAACTGAAAGAACTTTTTCTTTCAGTACTATAGGTTCTTGTTCATATGCTGACACTTGAAATAGTTGAACATGGACAATTTCTTTATGGCACAGTGACTTTATATATTCCTTCCATATTTTTCCAATGCTTTCTGAATCATAAAATACTTTACCCATACTTGATGTATGCCATCGAGTTAGTTCTTACTCATAGTGACC